CATCTTCTATCCTTTGTATTTGTGCTGTTTGTTTTTTTGTTGTTGTTGTTGTTATTTTTAAGAAGTTTTTCATTTCACGCTCCCACATTACAAATCTGCCCTCCAGTTCAGATAATCTATCCTTAGTTTCTTTCAAGCTGTTATGCCAGTTTTCGATAGAGTTTTTAGTTTCCTGGTAATTGAACCTGCTTCACATATTCTATGTTTTCTCTGTTTTCTCCATCAAGCAATTCTCCCCTTTTTTCCTGTTCTTCCATTCCACCATCTGTTTTTTCTTGGGTGGTGCTTAGCATTTCTCTAACTATTCTGCTTATGTCTTGCTTTAGGTCATTAATAACTTCATTTCTGAACTCGTCTATGAGGCTCTGGAGACAGCGCTTTATGTCTATTGGTGCCGTGTCTGCTATTGCATGTTTCTCAGGATTGGGGGCCGAGGACCCTTTCTTGTTGCTGCCTCTTCCCATATTCTTTGTTCCTTATATACAAGCATATGTAGGAGGCCCAGCTTCCTTCCCTGTTGACCACAGTCTGTTTGAATTGCACCGGCTGGGTGTTCCCGCCCACCACAGCTCACCTGGGAGATACGGAGCGGGCAGCCTATGCCAGCCTGCCCCTCCAGGTCAACCTACCGAAAGCTTCACTGCTAGTGCGCACCTCCAAGCTGCTGGGACCTGGGTTGGGCTAACCTACTGGGTCTCAGCCAGTGATGTCACGCAGGCCAGGCACTCTCCACCAATCCCACTTGAGAGGAGGATATGTGACTGAAGTCACTGCAGCATCTCATTCCAGGTAGTCTGCCCATGTCTTCCGCTGAAGCCTCCTTCTCTATGGAAGGGTCCCGATCCGCTCAGTCACCGCAGGTCGATGCAGGACACCCAGCCAGTCCCGCTCCCAACTCCATTCAATGCTTCCCACTCTCAGAGCTTTCGCGCCTCTCTCCCTGATGTGCTGACCAGGACGCAGCAGCAGCTGCAGGAAATTCAAATCGCAGCTTCCAGTAGTGCCGGGTCCAGCTTCCACACTGAGATCTTATCCGTTACTGTTATATCACTAGGATTGCGTTTCCAGTTGGTTTCTCTTAATTTAGTTCGTTCCTGGGTCGGCAAAGCATATCCCACCTTGCCTAGGATTTCCTGCCCGGCACCATTCCTGGATTTCAAGTGTGGTTTCTCAGAGAGCCTACGAAGCTGCTGCTATCTATCTGCCATGTTCTCCCAGAAGTCAACGAATTCTTTGTTCCTCTGTGCCCTTTCACCAGATGGGTTGTCACACACTACTCTGTCAACTCCGAGAATTTCTCTCCAGAGTCTGAGCCTTTCACAAGGACCCGGCAGATAATCTCCACCTGGTGTTTTTCTGGTTTGGTCTTAAGTTGTCCAACCAGAGAAAATGGCTCAAAGGCTCCAGTCCCTCAATTTCCCCAAAACACAGGTGCAATCCCGCACATTCAAAAGATCTTGTTTCTAACCTCAAGGACTGGTAATACTACCTGTTCTAGTGACACTGGAAGAATGTGGTAAGTCCATTTCTTTATCTTTGTTTATTATTCAAAAGGTGATGTGGGTGAAAACTACTTGGGAACCATTTCATACTGGTAAAAAAAATTGTCCATAAGTGTAAATCAGTAAATTCTAGATATTGAGCTGTAATCTATGGAGGCAAAACCCTCAAACATGCATTTTTTAAAAAGCTGAACTGGAATTCTTGTGCATACTCAGATTCAAGGCAAAGTTCAAGGTTTTCTAAAAAAAAATTTCACATATTTCATATACATGTTGGGGTTAATAACACACTTTTAGAAACTGCCAGATTACCTCTCCTTGCATTTCTTCTCTTTCAAGAACTAAGTCAAGCAAATAGAAATTGATTCCTATCCCAGAATCTGGAGCTTGTTCTGTGCTTAGCCTATTTTAAACCAGACAGTGGAGAACCTCAGCAAACTCTATATATGAAAAACCCAAAGAAGCCCATTTCACACAGCTGTGCCTTATGTGATTCTATTCACATCCCCTGGCAAAGCTATAAAGAAAGATAATAGGTGTTAGCCGAAGCTAATGTAACGGGTATGAATACAAAGGGAAAGCTTAAAGTGATAGACCTGCATTTTGATTGTCATAAACATATGCGTGTTTATTTAAAGGTCAAACTATACATTTTAATGTCTGTTGCTTTTCTTTTTAAATCTTAGCCCAGCTTTTTAGTGAACTTACCTACAAATACAAGAATCCATTCATTCATATGTTGTAGACCCTCGTGATGCTGTTACATTTTTCAAAAAGCTTTAGATCTCTATTATGTTGTTTTTCTAGCTATACAAATGTTTTCTACAGTGCTGTAGACTGATATTGCCAAATAGGAGACTACTACAAACAAATTTTAGAAACTCATTATTGTGTTAGGTTAGGCAATGTTCTTAAAGTGATATTTAGCAGTAGGGAAGGTGGTATTTTTTTAAAAAATTATCACATGGAAACAATAACTTGAGGAAAGACTGTAAAATTAGAATTAGGAATTATAAAGAGATCTGCATGTTATTCTGGAACTATCATTTCAGGTAGATTTTGACCATCTAACAAAGGGAATTCCTCTGCCATTTATCTTTCATGTCACTTTTTAAATGTTAAATTTGGTGATTCGAGAATAAACATGTATAATACAACTCAATATAACAAAATTCACCTTTTTTGACCTTTTGTAAATATTTAAATGATTTTAAAATGCCTTATGTAGTATCTAATAATAGTTAAGAGAATAGCCTTTCATTTGCTTGCTGTATATTTGCCAACCTTGCTTGTATTTACCATCCTAACATCTTTGAGATTAATTTCAATTCACAGCTTTCTCCCTTTGTTGCAATAGTTTAACTATTAAACTCATATAGAAGACTCAAGAAATCAGCCAAAAACTCAAAAAGCATACTAAAAATAGAATGTAGTGGTCATACATTGGTTATAGCTTTTTAACTTTATTTTTGTTATGTACATTTGAGGAATACAACATAACATTTTGCTATAATATGCATACAAGATGATTACTTCATCTGCTACTACTGTCAAACTATTTTACACATCCACTACCACAAGTAGTTACTCGTGTGTGTGTGTGTGTGTGTGTGTGTGTGTGTGTGTGTGTATTCATTAAGGACACTTAAAATCTATCTATTTGCAAATTTCTCAGCAAACAATACAATTAGGTATTATTAACTAAAGTCCTCATGCCATACATTAGAACTCTGGAATTACTTCTTCTACATAGCTGCAATTTTTATGTCCTTTAATTGACATTTCCCTACTTGTTCACCACGACTGCTATGTTAACCTTCGTCCTCCAGAGTTAATATTTTGTAGATTCACATAAAAAAGAGATCGTGTAATAGTTTTCTTTCTGTGCATGGTTTATTTTCCATAGTATAGACTTTCTAGTTTATCCATGCTGCTATAAATGGCAAAACGAAAAGGATTATAAATTTTAATGTAAGTTCCATATGCTGCCTCTAGTTGGTGGTGTAAATACCAACTGGAATAAAGACAATAGAAAAATGAAAAATATTCTTGAAAAACCAAATCTCAGCCAGGTGCAATGGGAAACACCTGCAGTCCTATTACTCTAATAAAAGGCTAAGGCCGCAAGGAGCTCAGCCTGGACAACTCAGTGATTGAGAGAGAACCTGTCTCAGAATCAAAAGGGGGTATATCTCAGTGCAAATGCTATGGGTTAAAGCCCAATAGTGAAAAGAATGTTAAATCTTGGGGACTGAGGGTGATGTAGCACTTGCCTAGTATGTTATTCAGTTTTCTGTCTCTGTCACTGTCACAAAATAACTAAGAAAAACAAAGTAAAGAAAGGTTGATTTTCAAAGGCTTCCGTCCAAGGTGGGTCAACTGTTTTGGGGCTGGTGGTGATGAAGAACATCAAGGCATAAAGCATGTGGGGAAATGAATCAGCTCATCTCTGGGCCAACAGGAAGCAGGGAGAGGCAGAGATCATCCAGGGACAGCATACAATCCCCAAATTCCCATGACCCACTCAGTTAAAAGAAGTCCTGCTCCTAAATAATGCCACCAAATCATGGATCCATTGGTGGCCAAATTCCCTATGAACTCAAAGTCCTCATGATCCAATCACTTTCCCAAAAACCCACTGGCAAACACTACTGTGTTAAGGACCACAACATCCATACAGGAGACTTGGGGGGACATTCCAGGTGCAAATCATAACACCTAGCATGTGATACATCCTGCACTTGATCCCTAGCACTGGAAAGATACAAAGCTTTAAATCTCTTTATCAAGGCACACAAACCCAGTACAGATTAGAGAAATAAGGCATTACTTAAACCCCAAAATTTCTTATTTAAGATTATAATTTCAGTACGTGAAGAGCCTTGTGAAAGGTCACTATGCTTCATTTGATTATTTCTTTAAACCAATATTCCTTTACGGCATAGAATGCTGAGACTAAAAATCTATTTCCTCACTGTAAAATGCAATATGAAAACATAGTCATAAAGAGAGAATCAAGAGAAAAGAACTAAAGTGAGAAATCACATTTGTAGAGGTAAGTATAGTTATTAGAATGTGAAAGTCAATGGGGAATACCACGATTTGGGGAAAACCTTGTGTGGCACAGAGTATAGTGCAGTATAGAGAGCTAGCGTGCACAAGGTCCTGAATTCAACCCACAGTACCACAAAAAAATGAGGAAAGCATGAAAATAAAATACATTAGAAGAATTTGAAATAAGGTACAGTATTCACAGGAGAAAAACTAAAATTTCTATTAAACTTCAACCCATAAAGTTCATGACCACCCTCCACTGAGCAGTTAGATTAACTGAGAATATAAAATTCAGATTTTATCACCTGGTTAGTTGTCCTAAAGCATCACTTCAGTTTTGGCAGAGACACATTATGAAAGACACAATCAGAAACAGAGATTGAATGTCTGATTTAGTCGATGGTCGAGAAAGCCACAGCACCTATATCTAAAGGCATAGCTCACCAGTTGAGTGGGTATTGTTATATCCGGATCCAACACTGTATCCCAGCAGATCCCCACAACTGTTTGAGTGAACCCAAGATAGATGTTATCACTAAAGAAACCAAAGATCACTTTGTCTGGAGTTGAACATTTAGTAGCAAAGTCCATAACTTGCACCATCTGTCCAAAGCATTTTATACACCCCTGCTAGAGGCTGTGGTGACCAGGAGTTTCTTAATCTTTGGAATCTTCACTGCTCTTAAAATTGTTTGAAATTTACTGACTGCCTGATTTCCTTTTAATGCATTTAGTGCCTATAATAAAAAGCTACAGAAAATGCCACCCAAATCTTTGTTACAGGAAATCTGTAATTTAACCATCAAAAATCAGGTTTCTAAATAAGCAGAAACATTTTTACCACATTAATTATTCTGAGATTCAAGGAATATTGTGGATTCACAAAAGGGATTAGCAGTACTGTATGAACTGTTAAGTTAAATATATGCAAAGATTTTTCTCCTCACAAAGTTTTCATAAATGATGGAGGCCATTGTAGATATTTTCAAAACTACTGCGAATTTTCTATTAACCACATTCCATGGAATCCAGAAATGCTTATTCCTCATTAGAAATGTTTAGATCCTCATTAGTAATCTACTCCACATTTAAACACTAGTATTTGGTGTTTAGGACTCATTTGATATCTGTCGATTATGAGGAACTGGGTTTTATAGTTTTGTGTATTTAAGGATGGCCAACACCTTCACTAGCTTTTTAATTAATTTTTACCTTCTTCAGCATTCTCTTTTGTAATTGAATTATAAACTATGTTTAAGCTCCAAGCTTATAGAGGCATTGATGTTAACCAGCATGAACTGGGCAATAGGAAATAAAAAATAGAATGATATGTTACCAAGAGTCAACTTTGTGGCATAAAACACAGTTTCCCTTAAGCAACTATCCTCAAGATAACTTTCCAGATGAGCTCACCATTCTAGGTTCTGTCAAACACCTAACTGCAGACCAGCACTCAGAAAGACAGTAGAATAGTACCTCAGTCTTTTTAATAGATACTTACAACATTTGTGAACAAATTCTTCTTGTTACATATAGTTAAATCATTCAGGCAACTGATTTACCTTATTTAATTGTTCTCTAGGATAAGATTAGTACTATTGGGAAAGGTCCAGTCACATGATTTAAACACAAAATAATGTATTATAACCTGTAAGTTAAAATCAAACCAAATACATTATATCAGCCAGCTTTCTCATCGCAAAAATAAAATACCTGACACCCACAACTTAAAACAGGAGAGAGGGTTAATTTGGCTCATAACTTCAGGAAACTCAATCCACAGTTAGTTAGCTCCAAGCTAGAAATCTTATGATGGAAGAGCATGGGGAATCAGAGACACCTCATTCACAATGGCCTGGAATTAGAGCAGAGAAAGAGCTTAAGCCAGAAAACCACATAGAATGCCAGGAACCAGTAAAGTTCCAAAGTCACACCTCTTTGGTGCACCCTGAAACCTCCAGAAATGTCTTCCCACATCCCTTGAATGATCCCTTAGCAAATCAAGTTGCCACTTCACCCTAATCACTGCAAATAGTTCTTAGATTTTTACTTAAGTCCTTAAAATGTTTAGAGAAGTGCAACCGAAGATGTCATGGAGCTCAGCATGTATTTTGGTAAGATTAATGAAAAGGATATATTCAAATTCCTATTAGTCCTTTGATTTATCAGATTAAACACACTTTAATACAGAAATTCAAATCTTAAAAAGAGTATCAGGGAGGCCATGACTAACATTAAGTGGAAGAATACGGTATGACCTGTAAAAAAGTGTGCTAATGCATTTATTTATTTTCTTCAATAAAAATGTTTGAGAATATCCAAAGGGTATTCAATTGCTTATATTTCTGGTTTTGTCATTTTGTCATTTGTGGAGTGTAATTTGGTCAATATATTATATAATGAACAGACCTCATAGTACAGCCAGGAGATCTGAATTCAGGGTTTAGCCCTATATACTGTTTGTCTGCCCTTACACAATAACACCATTCTGTACCTCAATGGCAAAATTATAAAGAAGTGGGAAATACCTTGACTAATTTGTGAGGCTTTCTGAGGCTCTAAGATAATATGAATGAATGTTCAGTGACATCATAAGGTACCATATGAATACATATTAAAATTGGGAATTTTGTTCACCTCAAATTGAACTCTTCAAAATGATTAACTACAATTATTCTATATTAATTCAATGAACCAATTTATTTGATATTCTAAGCAGTGTTTCTTAGGCATGAAATACTTTGGAATATTCTGCTGCTCCATTGGTCATGGGGGGAAAAGGAGGAAGAGACAAGGGAGTAGTTTAAAACTTTCTCTGTCTAAATGTTTCTCCTTGATCCTAATGCTGTTGCTGCAGTAATGGCACATTAAAAAGCGTGATTTTAGAGATGCATAAAAAATGATACTCAATTAATTTTAATTGAATTTCAAATTGAGCTAGTATGTGATATGCTGGTCAATACATCCAGTCATTCTGTAGTATTTGAGATTCAAAAGAAACTGGTTAGATTTTATATTTGGGTTTGAATACTAACATGTAAATCAAACTAGCTGAGATGTCACCAAATCTCCCCTTTAATTAACTTGAATGACAAGGCTGTCTTTTAGTCATATATCAAACTCAGTCTCTATTTTACCAAGTTTAAAATACTGTTTTGATTGTAGGATAAAACTGAAAATACAACTATTATATAAATTTAAACAAAAAATAGACATTCAAATCACATGTTCCATGTTAACTTGGTTAGTTTTTGAGAAAAAGTATCAGGAATTTTCCTCATGACAAAAAGTACTGGCAAAAGCACCACAGCAGTGCATATTTTAAATAACAGTCAAGACCCTAAAGGATGAACTTCCAGAAAGTTCCAGAAAGTTCTAGAAAGGATGAAGGTGATGCATTTCAAAGTGGGCCTGATCTACTCTCTTCAGAGTCTGCATTTCATCAAGCACCAATTTGCAACCCCCCAAAAAAAATACAATCAGACTAGAAATGAACAAGGATGCCCAAAAAGTTTTGAGGAATCAAGCATACAAGTCTGGTACCTTTGACAGCAGCAGCCTGGAAGAAGCTGCTGCCCATCCACAGCATGTCCTGTGACCAGGGAGAAGCCCATGATGACCCTAGTATGAATAAGAAGGAAGCTTTCAGGGAAGATTTCATGACACATTATCTAGAGGAGAACACAGTAGCAAAAATAAATAGAATTTATTTCTCCTATCTAACTATAAATTATTAGCCATGAACAAATCTTTCCTCATTTCTCCTTCCTTTGTTCTTTCCACCACCTCTGGTGACAAAGATTCTCTGATCTACTTTTATGAGATCAGTGTTTTTAGATTCCACACATGAATGAGATCAGATTGCATTTGTCTTTCTATGCTGTTTATTTAAATTAAAATGTCCTCCAACTCCACCCACATTGTTGCAGATAAAATGATTTTATCCTATTTGGCCTACTACTATCCCACTGGTATACCCCATATACCATATTTTTAAAACCTACATCTGTTGACATACACCTAGGCTGATTAATTTGGGGGCTGTTATGAATAATCCTGCAAAGTATATGAGAGTTCAAATGTCTGTTGGATATGGTTATTCCATTTCTTTTAGATATATACCATTTATTATTTAGATCAAGGGAGAAATCTCTTTAATTTTCCAGATCTCATTGGAAAAAAAGCAAGAAGAGAATATCATTCTTGAAAGAAGTTTGATTGACTAACTAGCAAAGCCAAAGAAAGGTTCTTCTTTATAGATTTTAGTCCCCATAAAGAGAAGTAACTGCAGTGTCCTCAAAGTCTTCATTTAAATCAGACTCCAAATTTAATGCTCCAGTTATAATACTTCCCAGCAACAGCAAAAAACCATGCCAGTTGTTATACCGAAACATGTTTTTAGTCCATAGGAATTTACTGAATGTCCTCTTGCTTCATAAAACATCACACCAGTATTTGAGATGTAGATATTAAAGAATTTATAGATCAAAAAATATCTCGAGCTAGAAGCCAAGTCATTACAGACACACCAACAACCAATGTAAATATATGCAGCTACCTGCCATCGTTATAAAACGATGAGTGAATTCAGTGCAATTCAGGGAGTTGTAGTACCAGTGTGAGGACATGTAAAATGGTGCAGAGGAAGTGTACTTCCGGTTCTGACTTAAGACCAGTCAGGCTGAGGCACAGTACACAGATGGCAAAGGAATCTTTCCTTTTGCATTGTAAGCAAAAAAAGCAAAATTTTATTACTAGTAAGAATACACCAAAGCCAGGATACCTTTTTCCTTTCCCTTTACTTTTTTTTTTTTCTTCACTAGCTTTCTGTTTCTGGACTGTGCAATTTTAGACAGCTTACACATCCAATCATTCTAAGGCAGGGCACAAAATCAATTTTGACATTTATGGAGAATCCTATTGCAAAAACACACCGTATTTGATATCTGCGAATCTCTCAGAGACAGTTGTATGACTGACTGTTCCTGAGAGAGCTGGAGGAGGTGAAATTGCACAATAATGTGATTTCTGCATCCTCTCAGTAGGTGGCGATGGAGAAGTGACCTCTGCAGCCCATGCCTGCACCTCATTTCAGATCTCAGAGTCTACAGTCATAGACTGATTCTTAGATACCACTAAAAAAGCACAAGTCAAGTAGTTCCATCTTGAGACTTGAAAAAATTATTTTCAAAGGCTCTCCATGTCATGGGTGGGATACTTTGAATTGAACATCAAAATAATATCTTCCCGTTTCATTAACAGTATCTTTATTGAAGACCTAGTACTGTGTACGACATTAACATCACACTTTAGTTTGTGACAGTTCTGAATAAAACGAGTAAGTTCCCTTCATGGAGTAAGAGGTCTTCAATCCTCTCAGAGGCTACAGGAGTCTACCCTGATTAGTAGTGAGTAAAGAGCAAGGTTTCAGCCTCAAATTGACGCAGACTGGAAACTGCTTTGTCATTTTCTAGCTCTGAGACCATAAACTATCATTAGAGCTTCCTGAATTCCAGGTCCTCATGTGTAAAATGAAGATAGTAGAAACCAGAGTAAAACTAGCCTCATGTGATTTTTGAAGTTATAATGACATGTCACAAGTCTATCAATAGATTAGATAGTAGTTCTTTTCGTCCCTTTGCCAATAGTTTTTTCATGTAAGTGACTTTAAAAGCACACTAGATTGTACCTAAGATGATGGCTTCAGTTAAAGTCTCAAATAAGCCCACATTAGATTTTTAATGTCATAAGACACCAATAGATAAAAATTTATACTTTGTATAAATTACTCAAAGGTAATTGTGCTCTATTAAAGATGCACAGAAGGTCCATTGGCAGGCTGCATGGCTAACTGGCTGGTTGGTTGACTGATTGGTTTTAGCCTGTGATTTATTTCCACATGTGTCAGCAAAGAGTCATAGGTTGTGCATGTGCCCTGGACAAAACACTTTCAAAAGCTCTGAGAAAAGCCACGTCTCAGTGGAGAGACACTTGTAGAAAAACAAATATCGTATGCGCATGTGTATGAAGTCTTCCTAGTTTCTACTGTGCTTCCCACAGCTGAAGTTATTGGCAAAAGACCAAAGACATAATTTCATTGGTTAAGGCAGGAATTACATCTTAGAGATTTATTAAACGTCAGCACCATTCATTTATTCTGATGATTCATGAAGACTGTCCATGCTTATCTTTGCAAAGGAAAGAAAATTTGTGAATTGTAATGGATTGATCATCTTCCTTAGGCCTCCATTACTGGGGAAAGTTATTTTTGAGAAGGGTTGTTGCCTTGAATTTTTTTTTTTATTTTTCATCTGAATGGCAGGGCCAGCGTGAATCTTCGGAAGTATGGTGTCTTATGGCTAAGATTCCTCTGTGCTGAGAAGGATCCATTCTGGGTCTCTCTGGTGAAAAATTGCTCGCACATCGACATTCAAACAAATTTTAATAAGATCTACAGAAGCAGAGGAGAATCCTGTGATGCTAAGAAATTAAAATTGAGAACAAAGCTATAGAAGAAGGAAACAAATGCAAACAAATGTCAAAGAAAGAAGGGTCAAAAATCATTTGATCCTTTCTTATACGCAGAAACAATGAAAGTACGGTACAGGACCCCTATATCTATTTGATACTTACTGCAGTTCTGCTATCTTTATATTCTTAACTAACATAAGTTAATCGTAAACACCTTTATTAGATATTGCCATTAAATACATGGGTGGCAGAAGGAGTGTCATTTAGAGAATGTTTGTCAGCCAACCTTGTGATAGTGGACAGATTTTAGATGCCTTCAAAGTAGACCTTACAGAACACTAAATATTTAATAGGATATCACGAAACAAGTTTTCTATCAAAGTTAGCCTCGGAGAACTCTTGGGATTTTAGAACATTCTTAGGAATTGAGTGGGTAAATATTCATATTTTCAATTCCACTTGTAACTTATCACTTCTGAGTAATAAAAAAATTGGAAAGCCTAATAAACTGAAACAAGAAGGTAGATATTAGTGAAAGAAGTAACGTTTTTGTTACATAGAATGTGAAAATGTTAAAGTTTTCACTGCTTTGTTTTTAGCCCTGAAATACGTGAAGATATTAATAAGGAAAATATTAAACAGCACTTTTTTATGAAAAAAATGAAACAAATTTTTGGAACAAAATGCTGAATAACAATACTTACAACAGTGAAACTTTCAGCAATCATGAGTCAATTAATTTATAGAGACTGTGGTAGGCAGAATGGATATTACTCTGCTCTCCAGACTCAAGAAAGGGTTGTATAGCCAGACGTGGTAGTGCACGCCTGTAACCCCAGAACTTGGGAGGCTGAGGCAGGAGGATCATTGCAAATTGGAGAACAGTCTGGGCCACAAACTAAGCTCACCTTGTCTCAAAAAAAGACAAAAATAAAAAGAAAAGGAAAGAGAGAAAGAAAAAAAGAGAAAAAGAAAGGGTTGTACAATGTGATTCTGTCAATACAAAACTCAGTACTAGACTAACTCAAATTCAAGTAACTTTGACTTGCTTTCCAAAAGAATTCCTCAGAACCATCCTAAAATGTGGAAAGAAGCTCTCCCTCTCCCTTTCTCCATTTCTGTCTCTGTGTCTCTCTGTCTCTCTCTCTCTCTCTCTGTCTCTCTCTCTCTCTCTCTCTCTCACACACACACACACACACACATGCATATTTTCCCTCTGGAAGGGTGTTCTGCAGATAAGTGGACTTCAATATTCAAATCATGCTGCTCATTTCAACAGGTTGTATCCAGAAGTAAATCTTACATATAAAAACTGGAGCTTTAGAATTACAAAAACCCTGCACATTTGACTTTGTGAGATGACCCCAAATCATAAAATGGGTAAATAGTAAGCTTGCATGCACAAATAGCTCAAAGTGAAGATTAGTTACTAGATGCCACCAAATGGGTGTTTAGCATCTTTTGTGCATTCATTAAGGAAACAGTCCAGATAATCTAGTCATATGTATTGAGTTTCTAATATGACAGAGCACCAAACTTGGCTCAGTTTAATACCAGATATCATATGCAATTAAAAGGTTATACCGAGCCACATGGATCATCTCCAACTCTAAATGTAGCACTGAATATGCTTTCAACTCTATGTAAATTTATCTGTAAAATAAATTTAGTATTTCCATTTTTGTGAATTATGTATACATACTGGTGAATCAGTTTCTAGCTTCAAAATAAAATAGGAAAGAAATTTTTAAACTATGAATAAAAGGCTCTAACCTGGTAGCACAAAATCAAATTGTTTTGAGAGAGTTTTTAAATACAAATTTCCAAATGCCATAGAAGGTTTTCTCACTGAGTTTCCAAGGGTTAGATATGAATATACATATTTTTTAAAGACCACACGTGATAAAAGTACATTTCAGTTTCAAAGATATCTCCAAATGACATCAGCTAGCATAGACCATATTCCGATTGCATGAGAAGACATAAATTTATAAAATCTTCCGATAATATACTTTTTCCTTTTAATAGATCTTGACATCTCAGTCTTCTGTCCGCTTCACAGATTCCTTTTCTCTTTAACACATCATTACAACTTCCACATCGTTACAACTAGTAAAATCTCTGTGACATTCTAGCAGCCACATAGTAACTCAGGCTGGAAGGCTTTCTCCTGCAGGGTACAATCTGTCCACCCTGGCTGTGTAAAAGATGGTCCTCCCTCTATTGGTGCCTTGTGATATGAGCTAGACACATGTGAGTAAACGACTTGTGTTTATCAAGGCTCGGATTCACAGGCAAGATGATCAAGGTAGATCATGAGTAGAAAGATGATAGGTCTATAGATAATTAGATAGATGATAGATAATTAGATCATACATAGATTACAGAGAGAGATTACAAAGAAAGATTACAGAGAGACATTACAGAGAGAAAGAGAGCACGCACGTGTGTGTGTGCGTGCGTGTGAGTGTGTGTGATAGTCTGGAAAACTGCTTCTTAAAATGGAGGCCTTATACCACACTGGATGCTTCTGTTTTCTAACTTCTGAACCTTACCCTAGATGGAGCAAGTCAAAACTTTTGTGGGTGAGACATAAGAATGGACATTTTACATCAGCTGCTCAGGTAATTCTCCTGCATACCACTGTTTACAAAATCTGAGATGTCTTCAAGTCTACGTCCATGTTAGTCATCATTCAAGAATAGTATGAGATTTCTCAACTTCCATTTGTTGTTCTGACTGCTGTAAATTTCATTTACTTTCCCCATTCTCTTCTAGCTTACATGCTTAATTTCTTTCCATTCCTCAGTATGAGTTACCATTGGCTACTAGCTTGTTCCTACCTGGAGACATTATTTCTTGTGATAACACCTGCTTTTATTAAAAAGGAAAAGTAGATATTATTACACACCCTTGAAATGTATGTCTTCTGACCTTTTTAAAAAAGATATGTGTTGAATGAAATATGATGAAGATAATACTCTTCTCTGAAATGGTCTCTGCAAATAGCTTTTACATTTATAGCATTAGAAGAATTATGTGAAATATAATCACTTGGAGGCACAGTATTTAATTAAAAAAAAAAAAAGCAGAGTTCAGCCAAGTCCTCCATCACTAAGAATATTTGAACTATATGGAAAATGGTTTCAACAGGAAGACTGAGGTTTTTTTTTTTACCTTGCTTATAAAAGGGGCACTACTCTCTTCTCTAAATGAACATAGAGAAAGGCTGATATATCTTCAGAAATACTCATTTGTTATAGCCCACAACCTTTCATAAGCATGAAGCTCACTGCCAGATATTGATTCTATAAAGATCATGAAATTTCTCATCATTGTTTCTAATGTGGGTTTTTCTAAGCTACAAAGAAGACACCTTATATAATTTGATATCAGGGATTCATCACTTTACCCAAGACAAACTCAGACTCCCAAAGAATGTGTGTGTTCATCAAATTATATCCCAGGGTATTAAATAGTGGACAGTATACTTTATTGTAAATGATTAGCCTTTGGGAAAGCCCATAGAGTTTAATATGCACTAACATGGGAATAAATTAAAACGTCTCTCGTGTTTTGGGGTGGGGGAGATGATAGAAGAAAATGATATGAAGCTATTGAGATGGGACTGGCTGTTTTACCAAATGTTGTAGTTCCTGAAAAATCTCTCCTTTCCCTATCCCTTTACACCTGACTTGCTTAATTAATTCACAGTTTGAGAAAAGTTCAAATAGAAGACTTTTTCAGCACTAGATTACCCACCGTACATACCCACAGAATTAAGGATTATTGGCCCCTCCTTGCTCCTGATGGCTGTGTGTGAGAAAATAAATCCACCACCCCACCATTCAGTGTATTAGAAAATATGCAAACCAAGAAAGAAAACTTCAGTCAAGAATGAGACTATTATGCAAGCTGAGACAAATTTATTGAGAATTTGAGAGACGCATCCACATCTCTTTCAAAGAGGGATGATTGTATCTCAAAAGTAATTCTTGCGAGCTGGTTGTCAAGTTTTTGAAATTGTCCCAACACATATTATCTGAAGAAGTCATCTCGAGGCATCATCTGGTTTTTCAGTTTCCTCTTTGGGGTTCTGATGCCAGGTCTGAAAAGCAGCCACTTGGAGGTCGATGATCAAATGAGCAGAGGTAGGTGGAGCAGGAAGCTGGAGAGGTACTACTGGCCTTAGGAGGAGAGAAGATGCCATGCCTCGGGGACTTCAGGAAATCAGTAGAGGGCAAATGGCCAGTAGCGCCTGTAGCCAAAAGCCCCAGTGCCATTGTAGCCATAGCCCATGCCGTAGCCCACGGGGGAATAAGTGCTACCATAGCCACAGCCAACGCTGTACCCCAGAGGGTAACCGTAGCTGCCCCAGTGGCACCCAGGGAAGGCAGCGCCAGGGAAGTCGTTGAAGCACATGGTGTTGGATGTGAAGAGCTTGAGTAGCAGGAGAAGGCAGTGTGATGGATTCTCTGCTCTCACAACCCTCTTTATATACCCTGGCTCTAAGGTGTGGTGGAAAAATACAAGCCCTTCATTTTCATTCTTGATACCAATTTGCACTACCAAAAGCTCATTAATTTGTTGTGCTCTTGTTTAAGACTCCTCTCATGTGACATGATGCAGGGAGAAAATTACATTAAACAGAATATGGGCCTTGCTAAAAAAAATTATTGCAGTTACATCAAAGCACTCGATCTTATAGACCCTATATATAATTCTTTGTAAGTAGGCTTTCGCAACACCAGGAAAAACTATGATGTTGTTAGCTCTTATGCAATCTTCACACTTTCTGAATTTTCACAGCAGTGCATAGTTGGAACTCAATAATATGTTGGGTACATTCACATATGCAGTAATAAATAGATGTCCATCTCAAAAATCAAAATAATTCTTAGTATCCACTTGCTTAAAGAATTCTCTTTTTGGGACAGATGGTATAAAATCCATATTTCCTTTTTAAATTTTTCCATCTACATCTACTCTGTTTAGGGAACAGGTTTAAAAATTAATCTTAATTATAATGATCACTTGAACTATAACTAACATCATAGTTCTAAACCACTGCTTGGATTAATGATCTTGTAATTAAAAAATAGTATATTGGTCAGCCTCAAAACTTAATGTCAAACAAGTATGATCTGTGTTTAGTAGTAAATATGGAAAATAAAAACAATGGAAAAAAATAGAAAAATGAATGAGAGATTTTATCCTAAAATGTAGACTATTTTTCCATTATATCTCACAAAGCCAGGTAAGTTACAAATGTGATGTTCTTGTGAAAGATCAGGTGAATTACTAAATTAATATGATTTCATTTTTAGACTGATTGTGCACCCCAGGATAGAAAAAAAGAAAGTCATTTCTCTTTAAACACATATTTAAAAGATTAAACACATATTTAATCCTTATTTTATTTTCCTGTGGGCTAAATAAAGAATCAGGTTGATCAAATCTTGATGCTGGACCTGGTAGCATACAGCTGTAATCCTAGCACTGGGGAGGCTGAGGCAGGATTGCTGTGAGTTCAAAGCCAGTCTTGGCTACAAAGTTGGTTCAAGGCCAGCCCAAATTGCACAGTGAAATCCTGTATCAAAAAAGAGAAAAACAAAACACAACAACAAAAAAAAAACTATCTTGGTTCATATAAGACCTAATAGATAATTCCCCAGTTCCTGTGTTATGATTCCGCATGAGGGCATTGACTGCAGAACTTCCCAGAAAACACACCAAATAAATGGATGTTGCACAGAAAAAGAAAGATCTGAGGGAGTCATTTTAGATGTCTACAAAACACAGAAGTGTTATAAGCTGGCCCCAAAATTTTCCTTCCTGTTCCAAAGGTAACTTTGTTCCTTTCTTTCAGCACAAGGGGCCCTGGGCGGACTCCAAAGCCAAGGTGAGAACCTGGGGAAATACAAAATGATGCCCACATTCCAACCACTAATTGGCTAATTACAGCAGAGGCATTTTTGAAAACACCTACAGTGTTGCCCCACCACACTGCCTTATAAACAAAGATACGCGGCTGCCTATGGTGATTCAATGTTTAAAACTCAAGCACGGCAAGTGATTTATAGCGAAGTAAAGCCAGGGAATTCAAATTCGCTTCATTCCTAAATATAAAGATAATCAACCTCTGATCATTTGCTAAGACACATACAATAATCTACATTCTGTTTCTACCTTTATCACGTTGCTGCATTTCATAATTAAAGCACAGGTAACGTTTGACAAAAAGAGCAATTTTAAAATCTGTTTCCGTATAATGAAATAGAAACCATCTGAGTTAGGGCTGGCGTTCAGTTATGACGTCCTGTTTAATTAACTCTGCTCGCACCTACCTACCCAGGGTGACAAGGTAACTTTGCCCTCTACAAGTACACAGCCCTGTATAGGAGCAGAAATAGTGAATAAAATTGAAAATGTGTCATTGTTTATAAAACATCAAAGGTTTTTAAATAAAGAGGAGGAGAGAGGGCTAAAGGGACGGGGAGGGGAATAGAAGCAATAAAATATATCATGTACAGCTATTATCTTGTCCTATGATGAAAGTTATCATTGTGTATAGTAATAATAAAATAAAAAATAAATAAATGAATAAATAAATAAGCAAAATGTAAACCAATATACAAGGAACAGTGGGACTTTTCTCAAAAAGATTTCACAAAAAATCCTAACAAGAGAAGATGGTAGAAAAGCTGATTTATCAACAAATCATTAAAAAAATGAATACCTGCCTTAACCTTGTCTAGGATCAATGGAAAGTTTATTTTTATATTTTTCAAGGGGGAATCTAGCCTTCATAGATCCTCTTTCAATACCGAAGGCCCTCTTTAAGAAAAAGAATTCAGTTTAAGTAAAATTATGTATCTCTGAATATGCAAAAATAAATTAAAAAGTAGCACCAACAAAATCATGAACATGACACAATTCAGGTGAAAATAATTATGTTACTGCTTTATTACTTGATCAGCTTCTGTAATATCTCTGTTTCCCGTAGACTAACTGCTGGCCCCCTCATATGAAGTTGCTTCCTTCGTATCGACTGTCATACTGTGCTGGATGCCAGGAGACAAATTCATCTGAGGATACAGCTCTGGTCCTTTGCCCTTGTGACATACGTTCTGGTTGAATTGGGACAGCAGGTGGCAAAGAATTGTTGAAACTCATCTCCACACAAGGATGACTTCTTAGCTGGTTAGAAAGGAGTATAATTGGATATGAAGATGCCTACAACTCACATAAATCTATTCTTTAAGCCTATCTCTAATTCAGCTTCTTCTCAGTTCCAAAAAGTCCTTCAGCACCACAAGATACAGGAGCCCTGGGTATGAAGAGCACCAGTCTACTCCAGTTAAAGTGTCTCCTCTTGCAAATTCCCTCCAATATAGACTCAAGTGATATGGTAGTTTGCTAAAGAGAAAAGATACATTCTCATGAATAAATGATGTAGGATGGGAGTAATCTTTTTAGATATTTGACTGATATACATTTCAATATCCTTTTCTATTTTAATAGCAATGCTAAATGTTTAATAGAAATTTTGATTTCTCCTTTCATGTTTCTTTGACTTTGAGTAAGGTATGATAGGGATAAATACAGTGAAAAATCTTGCTCTTTTTTGCCTACAAAAGAGTAAGAAACTAATCATGTACAGATTTCACAAATAGTCAATTCTGGTATGCACGCAACATTTCTTGCCCTATGAGCCTAAAATATAAGGTTTAGAGGTTCAAAATATTATAATTCATTAGAATCACAGAAGAAATAGAACAGAATGTTTCATTTGTGAGAGCTTTTTATTTTTAATTAGTTTATGTTTGCAGTACCTAATGTTTACATTCCTTGTGTGGAATTGGTTCATGTAACAGAACACATCTCCATTCTTCTGTTCGTCTCCTTTACCTCCCTCCTGTATCTTAATTCCTTTCCTTTTTGAAAAAAGGTCTGTCTCCCTACTTTCTGTTGTTTATCTTTTTTTAAGACTTTTCAATTTTTTTTTTTTTTTGTCTTTTTCTTTTTTATTGGTACCGGGGATCGAACTCACAACTGCCTGCTTACAAGGCAGGCGCTTATGCCACTGAGCTAAATCCCCAGCCCCCTGTTATTTATCTTTTATTTTGTTCTTTACTTATATTTTGCGTTTTTCATATAAAAGAAACCATGCAATCATTAAGGTCTTGAGTCTGATTTATTTCACTTAACATTATGATCTCAGGGTACATTCATGTTCTTACAAATGACTCAAGTTTATTCTTCTGTGTGACTCAAGTTTACTTTTCTTTGTAGTACGCTGTCATATATGAATGTGTCGTTTTCTTTATCCATTTATCTTTTGAAGGACATACAGGCAGTTTCTAAGACAGGCAGTTTCCATAACAGCTAAAGCTGTTGTGAATTGTGCTGCTATAACATGCGTGGACATGTATCACTGTGGTACACTTTTAATTCCTTTTGGAAGGTACTTAGAAGGGTAATAGCTAGGTCAAATGGGATTCATACTGTAATTTGTTGTGGAATCTTCATACTGATTTTCATAGTGATAGTACCAATTTACATTTCCACCAACAAGGAAGAAGGGCTCTTTTCTCCCTACAGCCTCACCACCATTTGTTATTATTTGATTTCTTGAAGATAGCCATTCTTTCTGCAGTGAGGCAAAATCTCAGCATTGTTTTAACATTTCTTGACTGATTGATGACATTGAACATTTTTTCATGTATTTATTGACTGCTTTTCTTTATCTAAGAAGTGTCTGTTCATTCCAATTTCTGACTGAGTCTTTTAATTCGGGGATCCTAATTCTTTTGAATTATTTATATATTGAACATATTAATTCTTTGTCCCAATAGTAGCTGGGAAAAATTTTTCATTTTATAAGTTCTTTCTTCATTCCATTGGCTGTTCCCTTTGCTGTGTAGAAGTTTTAGGTTTAATATAATCCCTTTTCTTGACTCTTAGTATTATTTCTAGTGCAACTGGAGTTCTGTTCAGAAAGTTCTTGCCTGTGCTAGTCTTCAAGAGTTCTACCTATTTTGTCTTCCTGTAGTTAGTTGTTTCTATTTTAATATGTGAACCTTTGGTCCATTTTTATTTTAGTTTATTATGTGGCAAGATATGTTGATCTACCTTTCATCTTCTAATAATGATAATTTGACTACTTCCTTTTTTATTTCTTTCTCTTGAATAATTGTGCTAGCTAATACTTTAAGGACTATGTTGAACAGGAAAGGTGATAGTGGAACCCTTGTCTTATTCCTGATTTTAGCAGGCTTTCAGGTTTTTCTTCATTTAATATGATGTTGGCAATAAGTCATAAATGGAAATTTTAAGTTTATATCTATCAAAAATTATGCCAGTTATAAAAGTTTTAACATTTAATCCAAAGACATAGAACATGAGAATGGATGACAAACAATACCATGGTATTTATTTTCTACAAGAAACTCTTTCCTTTCTTAAGTGAAAATATTT